TTATAATATTATTATGTATATTGTACAGAGCGGTATAACCGTAATGTGACTACATATTATAGTACGGGGTGGTGCTCGTCACGGAGATAAATTTCGTCAAATTGTCAAAACTAAAAATTATGCTAACGACCACGTTGGTTCGTTTTCGCTTCCGGTAGCCGTGAGTATTTCGAAAAATCGTGTTGCGGCAGTCCCTCGTTGTCGTGCCTACCTATATGGCTATATTTTCTGCGACGCGTGCACGGTCGGCACGTGCCAAAACTGCAGCGGACGCGTCGAAGACTATTTACGACGACAAAACGCGTTCGGCCGAGTGCATTGTCCACCGGCCGTTCAAGTACGGATGGCGAAACGGCTTTGAGTGGGAGGGGGAGGAGGTGGGGGTTGCTTCGAAAACTGCACTCTTGTCGCCAACAGCCGGGCGGCCGGCAGACGTCTATTTTTAAACAGACGCGGCGCAACGTCAGGTGCGATTGTCTCACCGGAAGACGAGAGCTGAAATAAAAACTGATTCTACTGCAGCGGTGCACCTTAAAATATATATAATATTCACCATACGTGTACCGTCGCATGTTATACGCATTTTGCTGGTTTGACTATGATTCGGCAATATCGGATACCCATTGACCTACTCTCGTTCAGTTTCTCGACGTCTTGCTGCTGTAGTTTTAGCAAACATTTTCCTGGTTGATTCGATATATTTAGACTTTGCCAAGTATTTTGACCGCACGTGTGCTCTGATTTGTTCATGTGTGTAGATCATGGTTTCGGCGAGCCCTTAATGTCATCAATTCGTTCCTGTTTGTCTACTAGGAAACCATATTTTGTAAACATTAATGGCGTAATCAGCCCAAATAGTATCACATCTGGCCTCTGCAGGGCACTGGTGCGTATCATAAGGTGGGCATTTATTTCCCATTCATTTTGCCACGTTTATCCTTTATAAACGGCACCAAGGACATAGTACAAAGTACAACGGGATAGTTTATATTTTCTATCCAAACTAATTAATGGTCAAATGGAGACCAATGCCCTGCTATCCTTAGGGTTATAAGGTCCCATCATTCAGTTCCAAAAACCTTTACCCACTCTATATGTACCTTTTAGCAATAAAAACTACTATTATAATTACATTATTGTTAGAATGAGGATATTGGTCAATTAGGATCACTTATTTATTTGTACCTACAGTTAATAAAATGATTGTTTTTTCAAAAATGTAAAATGTATTTTCCTATTTCATGTTTTTATATTCTATGTAATGTACTAATTTTATTAAAATATTCAAACTGTATATATGTACATTGTGCTGTTCTCATCCAGTACATTTAAATAAGAATAGAAAAATTATTGCGAAATAAAAATTGGAACAACTTCAGAGTTGCTTTTCTTTCTGTATTTTTTGTATAATTTAAAATTGCATTTAGATTAATTAAATAGAATATACATCTGTAGAGTATAATTGAAATGACACTATACATATTATTAAGTAGTTGAGGTTGTTGTAAACTATAACTTTTAAACGATGAGATATTTTCTAGTTTAGAGATGCTACAACTCAATTAGCTGCCAGGGTGATTAATAACAAAACTCACCACAAAACACTTAACTTTTTAAAACCCAATGGTACTAAGTTTCAAAACTACTTCAAGTATACTCTTCACAGAGTCTAATACAACTTTTACTACCCACTAATCAGAAACTAATTCGTTTAGTTCTTTCTAAGCTTTAGCAGTTGAACATGTTTCACATATTTAAACAATTATAAACACTTAAATGTTGTTCCACTGCACGAATGAGTTACGATCACGTCCAACAATGTTAACCATTTAAGTATATTTTGTTCCATTCTATTTAGATTTCAAACATGTGAACAACAATTTTAAAATGCTGGCAATTTTATGTTGAAATTGAGAAATCGGGGAATATCCAAATTCATAAAATATTAATGTGACTTTCCAGTAAACTTTTTTGTATTAATGGTAAAAAAACGTTTGTAAAATGTAGTATTACATTTTCAAATGTTTTATTTTATTAATTCTCTTTTTTATTAAAATATATTCAATCTGTTTTACAATAAAAAACAATTAGTAATAAGGATAACAATATAGAAGATATACAAACATGAATAACGTGAAGAGGAGACCGTTCATTAACAGAACCTCAGAAATTTTATTTCCCCTATTTTAGGAGATCTCTAGATTATTTTCTTTTTGATCGACTGTGAGTTTGTGGTAATGTAAGAGAGGACATCATTTGAATGACGGGGCTTATATGGTTTGTTTGTTAATTTTGAATGGAAACTTCTGTTGTGGCTTTTTGCAAGCTCGTTTACTGATTGAATTTTTAGGTCATTATGGAGGGCTGCATTTGTTATGTACCATGAAGCACCGGTGATAAGTCTTAGGGTAATTTACTGGAAGGCTTGAATAGGGCGAATGTTTGCAGGTTTGGCTTGGCCCCAAATTCGGATGCCGTATGGCCTTCTGGCCTGATGATTACTTAGTGTAGGATTAGTTTGTTTTCGAGACTTATGTTTGATTTTAGTAGAAGTCTATTAAGATGGAGGCGGGAGTTAAGTTGTTTTCGTTTTTGCTTGGTGTGTTTGACCAGGTTAATCTTTTATCTACAGTTATACCTAGGTATTTACTATTTAGTTGACTGGTGAAGTGGAATTTGTTTGTTATTAAACTTTAGTGAGGTACATTCCCTTTTGTTTAGTGAAAAATTCACCTGTGCAGATTTATCGTCATTAATTTTCCAGTCATTGGACCAAGATTCTATTTTATTTAAACGTAATTGTAATTTTTAAATGTTAGATATAAAAATAAAATGTTAAAGGAATTTCTAACTCAAAATTATTTGCAAATGTTCGTGATTTTGTCATTTTGATTAATTTGATCGAAATTTGAACTTCCAGTCCACATATAAAAATTATTATGAATTAACACTGAATTTTTTTTAAAAATTAAATTTGATAGCAATTTTAATTTAATTTAATAAATTAACATTATATTACATTTTCAAGTTTCTTATTAAGGCAAAATATTTTCATTTCTTCTCTCAGAAGCATAAATAAACTGTTTGAAATGAGTAGCTTAAAAAAAATCAAGCTCATACTATTATGTAACTATTACTTACCAGTAACCATTTTCAGATGGCCAGGCGGTTGACGAAGTGAATTGTTTTTTTTCATTTACGTAAAGAGACTGAGATCTATAATTGGTACTATATGTACCTATAATGTAATGTTTTTATTTTATTTTCATGTTTTGAACCAATTTCACATTTATTGATTTTATTATTTTCTTTATGGACCAACTATCTCACGATGGTAAGGGTTAGTATAAGGGTTAGGGGGGTGGATGAGGTTTCTGAATATAGGCTATTTTATATACTACTAACATCAATCAACATTGAAAACATTTAAAATAACAATATTACAGTAGTTGATATCGCGAGTAGACATATTATTAATTAAAAATAAAACCAAGAGACGTGAAGCAGTGTATATATACCTACCTACACACGACTTAATTAAAACTTTTAAACGCGCCAGTAGATATTTTTATTACACTGCCCGCCCAGAGTCAGAATGAAGTGTGGAAATGAAAAAAAAGCCATAAGCATTATTAAATGACAGAAAATTGCACTAATCATCTAATTTTAAGGCAGTTCTAAATTTAATGGTCACAGAGACGTAACGACTCAAGACGAGATCGCGGGGAGGGGACTGCCAACGACCGTCTGCTCGAGCTGTCACCTCGGTAAATGTAAGTATAGACGTTTAAGTCAAACACAAAAATATAATAAAACATAATATATATAGACATCGTATCTATATGTGACGGTGTTTCTCTGTTCTCTTTATATATTGGTATTATTTTGCTACAAAACGCAGTATACTTTTTGGCGCTTTGGCCGAGTGTCTGCGTTGCCGCCGATACAATATTAGATAGCCATTAAGAGTTGGACGGTGTAAATTGTTTCGTTTTTCATTATATACGTCGTCACAAAGACGACATTTTTATTCCACATAATAACTAAGGTTTATATAAGACAATTCCATTGGTAGAAAACAATTTTTTACAAGAAGTACCTATAACAGGCGACAGTGCAAGACATTATACTATATAGTTTTGTATGATAATAAGACAGTATTAACCAAACTACACGCATCTATAATATACTTAATTGTATAATTAGTTACGTTGAATAAATATATTTTTGCAACATTTAAAAATACTGACATTTATTTACAATAAAATAAAATAATAATGATGTTAGGTACGTATAATATTATATTTGAACGGTTGGATTTTTTTCGTTTTTGGTCACAACATTTGTTATACAATGGTTACAATATCAAACTAACACAAACAATCATTTTTGGGAACATAGAAATGGTAGTAGTATAAATAAACAATGATGGACTAAAATATATAAAATATAAGTGTACAGGTAAGTATAATAGATATATTATCTAGTAAAAATACATAATACGATGGACACAACGAGAACCGCTTTCAGAATTAATACTTAAGTAATAAACACACTAGCTCCTCGATCACCAGAGAGAGGTATATACCTACAACTTTTACAAGTATAAAATATAAGTAAAAACAAAAGAAAATCTCTAAAAAGTACAAAACTTAGAATATTTATATTTTGTTTTATCGATCTTAAGCTTTGGAAACTATGGCATTTAGCATTTTGTGGAGGAGGGGGTACGGTTGGTTGATAAACACATGTACGTGGAACTAGGATTTGTCACTAAAAATCCGTGTGGTCACCCATCTGGTAACTAACGACGCCGGACGCCGGTCGACGCTTGACCTCAAAACACTCAAGTGACTGAGGCCAATCGCCAAGCCACACCTGTGGACCTCGAATATTGATTGTTTTGGTTTTTATTTGCATAATATATACTTCTCCCTAATGTTCTAAACACTTATTTAACGAATATTGACTAGGTGCTTTTCTCTGAAATTTTCACAATGTGGAGTACAAAAATCACTATATTATAATATTTCTTGGGGACATTAATTCATATTTTTCGCAATGTATTCATTAAAAACCGTCATCGGAAATTTTCAAATCACCGTGTACGGATAATAAATAAATAGTAATATTATACAGATATCATATAGGCAATGCTAATATACGCATTAAATAAAACTAGTCAGGCACATTTAAAAATTACAAGTTGAAAAAAAATGACATTTAATATAAATTTGTACAACATAGGAAAACTAAAATATATAAACTTATTTGGTATAAAAAATGTATTTTTTTTTACAAAAATTGTTGCGTTTTTTAAGCACACGAGATTTCACGAGTTGGTATTTTAGATTCGGCGAGGGACGACTTTGGTGCATAATAGTAAAATATTCGTCGTTAATCGGTTTGGTATGAATATATTTTTATTATTATTATTATTAATAATAATATCATAAGGTCGCGACGATTTAAAACGATGCTGGCTTGTCAGTAGTTTGTCACGTACATTTTATACTATTCGAAATTTGGAATGTAAACAAATTTTTATATTGTCTAAACACAATTTATTAACATGCACGTTCTACTACATGTATGTATTCCCTAACTAGAATAGAGCTACATTTGATAGAGACGAACAAGTTTATCATCTATACATATTTTTACTGTAAGGTATAATTTATTATGTGATATATTTATATGTTGTGTAATATAATTCAGAATAGAACACGGCGTATATTATGATATATTAATATCAAGGAAGTACAAAATTAATAAACATATTTTTCTCATTTTTATACAACTTAAAAATGGCACATTGCGGGAAGTCAACGGAAATAATACATTATATTATTATATACTTATATTATAATATTATTGTACATTTTATACGGAAGAATACTGAACGTTCACTGAATACCGATGAGTGATGCTGCGAAATATAAATAAATAAATTAAAAATGGTTACTTAAAACCCTGAGTGGGCGGGGGAGGGCAATAAGCGCACTCGGAGGAAGCGGAGCGTGGTGTTAAGATCCTAGACTTGGCGGGGGCAGAGTTTACGATAATATTGTAGTTTTTCGGTGAGTATAAAATATAATACAATAATCAATAAGTATTATTCAACTATCATTATTATTATATTCATTTGTGTAGGTATGATAAAAAAATATAATGATGGTCGCATGCATGGACGTACAGCTAAGAGGATATATTACATAACACTAAAAAAAATAGTATGAGTAATAATTTATAGACATAAGTAAGTATAGTAGGTAGGCATAATATGATTGTAATAATATTACGTTATATTATTGTCGTTAGGATCAGGTCGAACGCGGACGATGTGGATTCGATTTGCGGTAGCGCGTCGGCGGGGCCCGTGCACGAACCGATCGCGGCGAACACAACATAATAATAATAATAAAATAATATATAAAATGATAATATTATATAATAAGAAAAGCAGTACAGTGTTTGTATAAAATATATATGACAATAATAGTAATAATAACAATATAAGTGCGTATGATATAATTATGTATTGTATTATTATTATTATCATTATTAATATTATTACGGTTAATTGTCGTTAAAATGTAGGAACTCGTCTGTCGGAGCCGTGGCCGCCAAAGCCGCCACCGCGTCGTCGTCTTCGTCGTCGTCGCCACCGCCGTCCGCGTCGGCGATCGACGACGGGGCAACGACCGTGGTAACCGCCTGGACCGCGACCACGGGTTCCAGCGGTGGTGATGGCGGAGCGTCCGTCTCCGATTTTTTCCCGGCCTTTGCGCCGTGTTGCCGCTGCGGCTTATCGCCTTTGCCACCCTTGCCGCCGCCGGCCGTGGGTTTTTTCGATTTCTTTTTCCGGCCGGCGGCGTCCACTTTCCGGTGACTGATTTCGTCGCCGCCGTCGCCACACCGATTGTTGTTCTTCTTGTTTCCGCCGCAGTCTTCGTCCTCTCTGCTGCCACTGTCCCTGTTCCCGTCGTCCTTGTTCTTCTTCCGGCCGCCGCCGCCGCCGCCGCCGCCTTTGACTTGGCACTTGCGGCCTTGGGACTTGCGGTGCTTGGCGGTGGCGTGCGGTGGCCCCATGTGCGGTGGACACGCGTGCTGGTGCCGGTGCGCGTGTGGTATGGACGCCGGCCACTCGGCCGACTGCAAAGGCCGCCGGTTGGCCAACAGCCGTTCTACCCGTTCCGCCGGCACTGGTTGCGTCAGCACCCGCGTGTAAGTGGACAGCTTGCCGAGAGGCGCGTCCGCCTTTATCTGCACCTTGCGAGGGGTGCCCCGCTTGTTGAGCGCCAGGTAAAGGGTGCGCCGGTCGTTGGTGTACTTGACAGACGAGTACGTGTTGTAATGGTTCTGTTCGATCATCTCGTTGAACACGCATTCGTCCTCGAAGTCCTTCTGCAACAGACAAGAGAAAACATCAGCATGACAGTTACAATATGATATACACGGGTCAAAGGCTCAGTAATAATGATGAGATGGTAGTGGACATCCGTGGACCCTTTAGTCGACTAAGGGCCGTTCTTACAATGTCCCATTAAAGTTGACGGACACTTAACAGGTGGGGAGTTCTGCCGGTAGTAAAATGTTAATCGCCGATCAACCGACACTTAACCGGACATTGTAAGAACCAGCCTAAAACGACTTCAACTAATGGTGAAATTAAATTATTATATTAAGTACCAATTTATGACAATATAGATACATCGATTTGTACCAGCTTATGCCCCGAACGGCTGTATAGGCCGCGATTCGGGCCATGGATTTGGGCAGTTGGTTAAGGCTACTGCAGAAGTGTATGATATTCTCGATGGTTTGACAGTTACGTCGAGATATGAGAGGGCAACGAAACGGATTCCCGTTCTACTTATACATCGAAGAGTATAAACTACGGGAGCCATTTATGTCCTATTATGTATGTGGTATTCAGCGGTTCTCAACTTTTGAGTGTTGGAGAGCCTTTGATAATGTTCAATACCCGCCTGCCCCCGCCACCATATTTTTTCTATTATCATGACTAAAATAAAATATTAATCTTCATTTATTACTTTTTTTTTTACTTATATTGATAAAATTGTTTATAATTATATTTTAGGTAATCCATTCAAAAATATTCATGACCCAAAATTGGATCGCAACCCTATGGTTGGGAAACGCTGCTATATACACCCTCCACACGACGAAAACCATCAGGAACGAATTACCATGTGCCGCTTTTTTGCCAGTGCCATCAATCGCTACGGATGGATTCCATATTTTTTGACACGACTTACCCAATAATCCTCCCCCAAGAAACCTCCGAAGAATTCTTTGCACCATTATGGTATAGAGAACTTCGTACATAGTTTACACTTAACAGCCCGATATAACAATGTACATTCTCCGGGCTATGGATTGGACGATAAACGAAACGACATATCAGTTTTCGGTCGATATAAATTCCTAAATCGGGACAGTACATGATATTACGTATTATTGGCCAGAAAACTCCTTATGCATTTTTGGGAAAGGAATTTCCATTTTTTTTATGACTCTTGTCGAATAGATAGGGCGGCAAAGAGGCCAACCTTCCTTTCTGTTGGCGATGGTCAGACCATTATATTTTAGATTCTGAACGAATAGAGAAACCAATTGGTTGTATAATATCGTTTAGCTATTCATTCTTTTTTTGGGAAACCATATTTTGAGATATTAAATTTAATTAAATAGTTTTTATGAACAATTAGATTTTATTCGAATTATTTACAATTTACAAACCATTTCCAGTAAAGTTTCTACATTTTTTGTAATTGGTTTGTAAACAAACCTAGCGGCGAAAGTAACTGTTCTTTGTAGAATTGATCTTAATTCTGAACATCATAAAAACATATATTATTACTTGTACCTATACTTCAAATAATTTTTTATTGAAGAGTATGAGAAGTAAAGACGGACGTGTGTAATATAAATACAATACATACGTACCTACCTACTTAATAATTTAAATTGTTGTTTAAAAACAATTTAAATACTTGTACAGATAAATTAATCACATTTTAAAACTCCAAACATAAACGTCGACTTATATTATGACCAACGCAGATAAAAACTACACGTACCTACTAATTATTCATGAAAACATTTTTTTTCTTCAAATAAAATATTGCCTGTATTTTTAGTAATGGACATACACGATGATAAACGCAATGTTTAACTATTTGTCATTTTTTTAGTAGGTAATACAATTATTATTCCACACTAAACGGTAAAACGTTATCTGCGCTTATTTTTAAAAGGTTTCTTATCGGCAAAAGAAATTTAAAAAAATTGACGTACACAGTTGGTGCGTGAAATTAAGCGACCTAGTAGAATTTTTCCGCACGAACCATTTAAGCGGTATGTAGGAATATACTCGACACAGTCTCAAATTCGAAACGGGTTTGGCAAATTTTGTACCACTACATACCCCACCACCCACTTACCCGAAGGTTCACATACAACGCACGTCTCTCAGAAATGCATTGCATTCAGTATTAATTTCGTCCACATTATTGCATGTCACTATACGAGTATTCTTTAATTCTTTGAATAAAACTATACAGGTATAATATGGATACAGAATCCGGTACCCTGTTTACAAAATTCTGTATGACGTACAACATGCCCACGACAAAATAAATCATTAGATAAAAAAAATCGTACATCGTTTGTATTTTTGTGTACAAAGGTCCGTTATAATATCATACTCTTCTACGTTCCTACATATAAGTAACATAAATCCACCACCTATGATCCATATTTTATAAGATGCAATTTTTTAATGTGCATAAAAATTAAGACTAGGTTCGGTTGTATTGTCGTATTTATTATATTGTTTTACGTGAAAATGAAATAGTTCTGAATTATCGAGTATAATATTACCATACGAAGCAGACGAAATGCACATTTAATTCTTTTTTTAAGAGGGCTCAAAAATGATACACATTAAAATAACTTCAAGTACTTTAAACGGTTCTACTTATTTTAATAGAGTCATCGCATGGACGTACATGAATGGTTAAATAGACGAGAATGGGAAATTCACATCATTAAAGCTAAAAAAAAAAATAATAGTAATAATAATAAACAATACGTGTGTAGTAGTAATGTGTAAACAAAATAACATCGTTCTTACTAATAGCCTCTTTACAGCACTTTAATTCTAAAATAACTTTAATAGATTTTCAATGTATTGATTAATATTGTACGTTTTATTGTCATCAATGGATTCAGAAATAGAAAATTAATTGTTAATCTGAAAATAGCTCCATCACTTAACTTTTGAAGTTGAGGCGTTTGAATACACATTATTTATACTGGTGTGTATTTCTTTCAACGTCGGGATCCCAATGAACAATATTCCAAGTATCTCAAACGCAGTTTTATTCGACATATAATTTTTTTTTAAGTTCTTTATACATAGCTGACCGTACAATAAACGGTTTACACTTGAAGTTAAAACTATTTTTAACATTGATCCGTGTGGGCAAAATTAATGAAAATTTCGCCACTTTCAAAGTACAATTTTCCAACGGTTGTGTGTGTTACATTTTATTGTGTACATACTTATAATAGATCACAAATACTATTTTAACGGTTGTTTAATCACGTGGCTTAGAATTCAAAGTGCACTGAAAACACGGTATTGAATACTTGCCAATTAAGTCGTTTTGGGGCTAATAAAAATGTATATTACTAGTTGCTATAATGACATATTATGTTCCATAGACTATAATAATTATTGGTTTTTGCGCAATTAAATATTTAATATATAGGTGACTATTTACTACTCTTTAGTACAATTTATACACAGTAGGTAATTTTAATAAACAAATAAAATATAACGACTATTAATAATTATAATAATAATACAAATTGCATACGCATCTATATATGATTATTATTTCTTACTGGGAAAATTTCAATTAGTCATCAAAAATATAAAATCATAGATACATAGGAAAACATATACTTTCGTTCATTGATCAATATTTGAAAATTATATTACCTATTATATTCTCATAAGACTTCAAATTACTTTTAATTTTAATTTTCATATTTATTAGTATATATATTATTTCATGTATAAATGTCTGTTCGGTTTTAATTATTAATTTTCAGTTTATATATTTCTTTTACTAGATGTCAATGGATTTCAACACGTCGTTTTGGTATCACCTTCGATAAAAAACGTTTAGTATCAATGGCGGTGTGTCAAAAAAAAAAAACTTTTGAAATATTGGCAAGGTCCCTATGTGTCTGGCTTTCTTCTCTGGTGTTTAATTTTAGAATACAAATAGAAAACAACCCTTTTCTGATTTCGTTCACAAATTTTTGAGTAGTATTATAATTGAACTATTTGTATCATTCCACTTTTCAAAATATGGAGTACTAAAATGCCCATAGTGTATTACAATAATAATTAGTGTAATAAACATAATATTTTTGATCAAATGGTTTTCAAATATTTCAATTCAAATCAATTAACATAGTATTCATAATAATTGAGAATATTAAAATGCAGTTGGTAGGGTGAGTTGATGTAATATTTTTGGTATTTAAGCAATAATAGGTGATGGTCAAAGTATCCAACTGTTAATTGATACAATTTTAATATTTCAAGACTACTTAAATCTGAAACGAAGATGTATTGATATAAAATATAAAATATAAGAAAGTTAAAAGTATATTAATAAAATGCATTGTGATCATAACTTAAAATACAGATACTATCTAGTAATAAGAATAAATATAATATAAATGTCTCATTTGTATTATTTTTAGTAGTATTGAGCCATTACTAATTTTAAATAAATGTTCTATAAACGTCTCTCGATCAACGTAAATATATACTTAAGATGTATCCAGTAAACATCATACATGTATAGACTATATCGTATTTCGGTGTGAATTTTTGGTCAAGATCTATTAATCAAACGAATTATTACTATATTTACAAAAACACCGGTAATACTATGCATTAATACTTAGTATTTTTTTTTGGGAAATGAAGGTACCTATAGCATAAAATACTTACGAAAATATCTGAAATATTTTCCTTTTTTTAATAAATATTAACTTATATAGTTTAGAGTAGCTCAGAGTACTTTTCAAAAACTTCGATGTATAAATTAATGTTTAACGAATATGTTTTATAAGCATTTGAAGTTTATAATAATTATTTAAAAATATAAAATCCTGAATATTTTACTTTGGGTGTAGATACTTATTATGGCAATCGTCCTACGTCAAATAAATCTGGCTAACTCTTTGGGTACACAAAAAGGTTTGTGTTGGCATTATAATAATTATACACACTTGAAATAATTTAATGCGATAGGTACACACATCGAGACCAATAAAAAAGGGTCCTTTCTCCG